AATTAATGAAAGTGGAAAAAGAAGAACAAATGAGGTGCAAAGTCAGTAGAAGGAGGGACATAATAAAGATTAGAGCTGAAATAAATACAATGGAAAAGAATAAAACAATAGAAAAATTAACAAAATCAAGAGCTGGTTCTTTGAGAAAATAAACAAAATAGGTAAACCCCTAGCCAGACTTATCAAGGAAAAAAAGAGGGTCTACATACATAAACAGAATCAGAAATGAGAAAGGAAAATCCCTGTGGACACCACCAAAATACAAATTATTAGAAAATACTATGAAAAATTATAAGCTAACAAATTCAATAGTCTAGAAGAAATGGACAATTTTCTAGAAAAATACAACCTTCCAAGACTGACCCAGGAAGAAACAGAAAATTTGAACAAACCAATTACCAGCAATGAAATTGAATTGGTAATCAAAAAAACTACCCAAGAACAAGACTCCCACACCAGATGCATTCACCACTGAATTTTATCAAACATTTAGTGAAGACCTAATACCCACCCTCCTTAAAGTTTTCAAAAAGTAGTAGGAGGGAATACTTTCAAACTCATTCTATGAAGCCAGCATCACTCTAATACCAAAACCAGGTAAAACCACCACAAAAAAAGAAAACTACAGACCAATATCCCTGATGAACATAGATGCAAAAATACTCAACAAAATTTTAGCAAACCGAATTCAAAAATACATCAAAAAGATCATACATTATAATCTAGTGGGATTTATTCCAGAGATGCAAGGATGGTACAATATTAGAAAATCCATCAACATCATCCAATACATTAATAAAAAGAAGGGCAAAAATCACATGATCATCTTAATAGATGCTGAAAAAGCATTTGACAAAATTCAACATCCATTCATGATAAAAACTCAACAAAATGGGTATAGAGGGCAAGTACCTCAACATAATAAAGGTCATATATGACAAACCCACAGCCAGCATCATCCTTAGCAGCAAAAAACTGAAAGCTTTTCCTCTAAGACTGGGAACAAGACAATGATGCTCACTCTCCCCACTTTTATTCAGTATACAGTACCAGAGGTCCTAGACACAGCAATCAGATAACACAAAGAAATAAAAGGCATCCAGATTAGCAAGGAACAAGTTAAACTGTCACTGCTTACATATGACATAATATTTTACATAAAAAACCCTAAAGACTCCACTCCAAAACTACTAGAATATCTGAATTCAGCAAAGGATACAAAATTAATACACAGAAATCTGTTGCATTCTTACACACTAATGATGAACTAGCAGAAAGAGAAATCAGGAAAACAATTCCATTCACAATTGCATCAAAAAGAATAAAATACCTAGGAATAAACCTACCAAGGAAGTGAAAGACCTGTACTCTGAAAACTACAAGACACTCTTGAGACAAATTAAAGAGGATGCTAATTAATGGAAATTAACCCCATGCTCTTGGGTAGGAAGAATTAATATTATCAAAATGGCCATCCTGCCTAAAGCAATCTACAGATTCAATGCAATCCCTATCAAAATACCGACAGCATTCTTCAATGAACTGGAACAAATAGTTCTAAAATTCATATGGAAGACCCTGAATAGTGAAGGTAATCCTGAGAAGGAAGAAAAAAGCAGGGGGGAATTACGCTCCTCAACTTCAAGCTCTACAAAGCCACAGTAATCAAGATAATTTGGTACTGGCACAAGAACATAGCCATAGATAAATGAAATCAAATAGAGAGCCCAGATAGAAACCCACACATATGTGGCCAATTAATATGATAAAGGAGCCATGGACATACAATGCAGAGATACAGCCTCTTCAACAACAGGTGTTGGCAAAACTGGACAGCTATATGCAAGAGAATGAAACTGGATTACTGTCTTACACAAAAGTAAACTCGAAATGGATCAAAGATCTGAACATAAGTCATGAAACCATAAAACTCTTAGAAGAAAACATAGGCAAAACTCTCTTGAATATGCACATGAGCAACTTTTTCATGAACACATCTCCCTGGGCAAGGGAAACAAAGGCAAGAATGAACAGGTGGGACTATATCAAACTAAAAAGCTTCTATACAGCAAAGGATACCATCAGCAGAACAAAAAGGCATCCTACAGTATGGGAGAATATATTCATAAATGACATTTCCGATAAGGGGTTGACATCCAAAATATACAAAGAGCTCACGCACCTCAACAAACAAAAAGCAAATAATCCAATCAAAAATGGGCAGAGGATCTGAAGTGACACTTCTCCTAAGAAGAAATTCAGATGGCCAACGGGCACATGAAAAGATGCTCCACGTTGTTAATCATCAGAGAAATGCAAATTAAAACCACAATGAGATATCAGCTCACACCACTTAGGATGGTCAACATCCAAAAGCCAAGCAACAACAAATGCTGACAAGGATGCAGAGAAAGGGGAACCCTCTTACACTGTTGGTGGGAATGTAAATTAGTTCAACCATTGTGGATAGCAGTATGGAGGTTCCTCAAAAAACTCAAAATAGGAATACCATTTGACCAGGAATTCCACTCCTAGGAATTTACCCAAAGAAAACAAGATACCAAATTCAAAAAGACATCTGTACCCCTGTTTATCGCAACACTATCATGGAAGCAACCTAAGTGTCCATCAGTAGATGAATGAATAAAGAAGATGTGGTACATATATACAATCAAATATTATTCAGCCATAAGAAAAATCCTACCATTTTCAACAACATGGATGGAGCTAAAGGGTATTCTCAGTTGAAATAAGCCAGGTGGAGAAAGACAAGTACCAAATGATTTCACTCTTCTGTGGAGTATAACAACAAAGCAAAAACTGAAGGAACAAAACAGCAGGATACTCACAGAACCCAAGAATCCACTAGTGGTTACCAAAGGGCAAGGGGTTGGGGAGGGTGCGTGGGAAGGGAGGGATAAGGGGATTAAGGGGCATTACGATTAGCACACATGGGGAAGAAAGTATAGCACAGAGAAGACAAGTAGTGACTCTATAGCATCACAAAACTAAAGACGCTGATGGATAGTCACTGTAATGGGGTTTGTAGTGGGGACTTCCTAACAGATGGGAATGTAGTAACCACAATGTTGCTCATGTGAAACCTGAGCAAAAGATTGTGTATCAATGATACCTTAATAAAAAAATTTTAAAAAAGGAGAGAAAAAAACTGGAAAAAAAAATGAAGTATGGACACATGCCACAACATAGATGAGCCTTTAAGACATTAAGTCAAAGAAGAGAGTCACAAAAGACCACATATTGTATGATTCCACTTACATGAGAAGTCTTAAATAAGCAAAACCAGAGGCAAAAAGAAAATTTTTGGCTTTTTAGCTACCAGATGCTAGGAAAAGGGAAGGAAGGGAGTAACTGCTAATATTGTCAGTGGAGTTTTTTGGGGAATAATGAAAGTATTCTAAAAATGGTTAGGCTGTAATTCACAACTCTAAAAGTATACTAAAAACCAGTGAAGAGTCCACTTAAAAATGGTGAGTTTTATGTTATATAAATGATATCTTACTAAAGCTGTTATAAAAACAAAACAAAAACATTTCAAGGTGTGAATTATGAAGGAATTGTGCTGAGAGCACAGAAAGTTCTCCAAATAATTACAAAAAAGAAGAAAAAAGGATTGTCTTAAATTTTAGTCATAACACTCTAAGAACATTAAAAAAAATTTCCAGATGGTCACAATTATTGTCAAGCTCACAAAGCAAAAAATATTACAGTAAGTTTGTTCCCTAGAATTAATGTATCGGTACACTATAATTACATTAAAAACAGACACTGCATTATGATCAGAGCAATCTACCACTTGAAAAAATAAGTATACAATTTTTTATACATACAACTTAAAAATTTTTAAATATACTATATTTTTAAATATAGAATTGTTAAAGGGTGATTAAAAACTAAAGACACTCATACTACCCTGAATATGCTAATTTTCTCTTTAACTTTGCTCAATGAAATTAACTGAAGAAAAAATTTCAAGACAGGTTTACAAGACTGACAATTATGGTCTCTAATTTAGGAGCTCATATAACTGAGTTACTAAAAGGGAACAAAATTAAATCCTCAAATCTTTCAAAATTAGTCAGTTTGCTAATACAAACCAGAAACACTACTGAGTCCAAATGTTGCATCATTCTAAGCAGTTAAAACCTAAAAAATGAAGAGTAAGAACTAAAGTTACTGGGTTCGTGCACATGGAATGTCTTATCTGAGGCCTCATTTGGAATAATGTGGTCACCTATTTGCCAAAGTGTGGCACCCTCGTTTTACCTTTTACTACACAAAAGAACCAGAGAGTAAACTTTTTTCTAACATCAACAGGTGCATTCATTAAATACTCAATGTATTTAAGGCATACTTTTAAAACCTTCACACACTCCATATCACTTTATTTAATGCGTATAGCAATCTGAGGAGTAGGAATTACCATCCATTTTACAAAAAGTAAACAGAAGCATTTATGGTCTGACCATGCAAGCTTCTCTAAAAAATGTCATTGCCCCCTCCCAAGGAAAAGATCAAATACAATTTTTTAATTTCTTTACAGGCCTAAAGAAAGATTACAAAATGCACTGTTGGCAAATGTTCTCTGATAGTCAAATGAACATGAAAATGCATTGATCACACTAGGCTAGTCTCTGGGTGATAAAGTTGCAGAGTTAACACTCTCCTAGTACTACATAACCTCTTCATTAATTGATAGCATCCAAGCGGATGGAACTGGTTTATTTTCCTTTGTTACTTTTAGTTCTTACCCAACTCCTTCCCAAGACAGACCTAGAAAACCAAAAATAGTAAAAGAAAAAAAAAACAATAATTTATTCTAAATGGAGCATTTGCTTTTAAAATAAACACATAAGATTTTCAGAAAAGAAGGGCAGAATAGCATTGACTTGTGTGGTACACTCAAGACACTGAAAAGAGTAATGTTAAAATGATATTTTACAGAAGCACAAAAAAATAAAACCAATAGAAATACTTACTTTCCCCTCCATGAATGTTTTGTTGTGTAGAAACATGCCAAATCCTTATTTTCCCTAATTATGTTCATTTTGTGCTAACACCTGGAAGATAAAAATGAGTCAACTTAGTATACTATTATCTTAAAGATTTTCCTGAATCTCCTATACCATACTTTCAGAGCCTGCCATATAATACAGATTTTAAGGCACAATTTCTACAAAACCATAGGATTTTTAAGGACAGGAAGTCATCTGTTCTACCTCTCACAGCCTTTAGCACACCGTATTGTTATTGTTTGCTCTCCTCCACTACACTGGGTTTCTTGAGGATAAGAATTGCCCTCTATCCAAATCATGTGTGTAGAGAATCTAATAATGTCAACATTTAAATTAAATGAATCTTTAAATCTCATATTGCCTAACAATGCCTTGGCACTCAATAGGCACCTAAAAATATTTGCCTAGTGTCAAACCAATTCCAAAAGGTTTGTTGAGCTGCCAAATCCCAGCCTTTTGCTGTCACTTTAAAGGGAACCTACTGTAAATAAGATTTAACTTAAAAATCACAATATTCTCATTACAAAAGTAATACATGTCCAAAGGAAGAAATCTGAAATATTCATAAAGTAAATAAATTTTCATTCCAGCATCCAATGATAATCATTCTAGACTCCCTTCTTCTATTTAGAAAAAAAGGTTTTTTAAACAAAATTGAGATTTTCATTTGTCATTAATATTGTTTTTGCAGAATATTAACCTTTCCCATGGAATTAAATATTCTTTGAGAAAATGATACTAAAACAGTTCAGTATTGTCAAACTTGTATGATAAATCACATGGTATGACATTCTTATGAGCCACATGGACAGGGACCATGTTATCTCCAACAGTTCACTGACTAGTTTATTGACTGAAACCCAGAAATATATAAAATCTAGACCCAGGTTCATGAAAAAATTTAAATTAAGCTAATTTTACAGGACAAATTATTGCAACTGGCAAAAAGACTGATGATAAATTTTGAAATATTAAATCATTCACTTCACACTAAGTTAAAAATTAATATGGTTCATTTACTTCTTTTGTGACTTAACTATTTTTCCCTCCCCTTAATAAATAGAAATGCACTCTAAAAAATATTGTAAGATATACAACAAAGTGTCAATAATGAAAACTGAATTGTTGGAATTATGGTTCACGCAAGCTTTCTTTACATCTTTATATACATCTAAATTCTTTTAAATCAATAAGTATCCTTTTCAAAATTAGAATAAAACCATTATCATTCAAAAACATTTTTATAACAGCTTTTTGAACTACAATGCACATGCCATAACTCACCCTTTTAAAGTGTAAAGTTCAGGGATTTTTACAACCAACACCACTATTTTTTTTTTTCAAGTAATCATTGACTGTTTTATTCTTAGCTTTGAAAAGGTAAGTTCAGCTATTTATTTTATTTTATTTATTTTATTTATATTATTTTATTTTATTTTATTTGAGAGGGCATCTCTCATATTTATTGATCATATGGTTGTTAACAACAATAAAATTCTGTATAGGGGACTCAATGCACAATCATTAATCAACCCCAAGTCTAATTCTCAACAGTCTCCAATCTTCTAAAGCATAACAAACAAGTTTTTACATGGTGAACAAGTTCTTACATAGTGAATAAGTTCTTACATGGTCAACACCACTATTTTTAAAACATTTTTACCAATCACCCCAGAAAGTGTTAGAAGTCACTCCCCATTCCCACTCAGTCCCAGCACCTGGCAACCACTAACCTACTTTCTGTCACTATGGATTTGCCTATTTTGGACAAATATGTGTATTTGTCTTGTTTTAAATTATAACCACCCTCCTCATTCTTTACTCCCTCTGACTCTCACTCATTTTCCCTCCATGGTACCTTCCATAGGGTAATGTCCAATTTATTGTATTATTCATCTAATCCTACTAGAATATCCACAGGGAGGTACTTTTGACTGTTAAGCTCATTTATGTACAAATCCCCAAGCCTACCCGAGTGCCTGGCACAGAACAGGTGCTATTTGAGTGAATGAATGAAATACAGCAATCCCATGGGAAATTCCAATGACCACTTCAAATGTGATGTTCTAACAGGTAGTCCCAAGTTAGGACACAATCCTTCTGGGAAAGTATCAGTTCACTCTCTGAGGAATAAAAGAGCCACAAGAACAAGTTTAGAAACACCTTAATTGTTACCAGAGAGGAAATTTCTCTTGACAGTCAACTGACATCTTCCTATTACTATGTATGGAAATAACTAAATATAGTCTTCTTGACAGTTTTTTTTTTTTCTGGATTGCCTATCTGGGATGACAGAGGCAGCAAACTCAGACTTATTAAACCCTTCTGAACATCATCCCTGCCTTTTGAATCATTTACAGTTAATGATACTGCTGAAAACAAACTTTGGATCCTTGAGAACATGTCAAAATAGTGAAAAATACAGGTTTACAGATGACATCTTTCTCTTACATTCTGTAACTGAAGATTGGAACAGAAGAAAAAGGAGACAAATACATGGCCAGTTTATATACAATAAAGGAGCCATGGACATACAATGGGGAAATGACAGCCTCTTCAACAGCTGGTGTTGATAAAACAGGACAGCTACATGCAAGAGAATGAAACTGGATTATTGTCTAACCCCATACACAAAAGTAAACTCGAAATGGATCAAAGACCTGAATGTAAGTCATGAAACCATAAAACTCTTAGAAGAAAACATAGGCAAAACTCTCTTGAATATGGACATGAGCAACTTTTTCATGAACACATCTCCCTGGGCAAGGGAAACAAAGGCAAGAATGAACAGGTGGGACTATATCAAACTAAAAAGCTTCTGTACAGCAAAGGATACCATCAGCAGAACAAAAAGGCATCCTACAGTATGGGAGAATATATTCATAAATGACATTCCGATAAGGGGTTGACATCCAAAATATACAAAGAGCTCACGCACCTCAACAAACAAAAAGCAAATAATCCAATCAAAAATGGGCAGAGGATCTGAGGTGACACTTCTCAAAAGAAGAAATTCAGATGGCCAACAAGCACATGAAAAGATGTTCCACATCACTAATCATCAGGGAAATGCAAATTAAAACCACAATGAGGTATCACCTCCCACCACTTAGGATGGTCAACACCCAAAAGACAAGCAACAACAAATGCTGGCAAGGATGCAGAGAAAGGGGAACCCTCCTACACTGCTGGTAGGAATGTAAATTAGTTCAACCATTGTGGAAAGCAATATAGAGGTTTCCCAAAAAACTAAAAATAGAAATACCATTTGACCCAGGAATTCCACTCCTAGAAATTTACCCAAAGAAAACAAGATCCCAGATTCAAAAAGACACATGCACCTGTACATTTATCACAGCACTATCTACAATAGTCAAGATAAGGAAGCAACCTCAGTGTCCATAGTAGATGAATGAATACATATGTGGTACATATTTAGCCGTAAGAAGAAAACAAATCCTACCATTTACAATGATATTGATGGAGCTAGAGGGTATTATGCTCAGTGAAATAAGCCATGCGGAGAAAGACAAATACCAAATGATTTCCCTCATTTGTGGAGTATAACAATGAAGCAAAACTGAAGGAACAAAACAGCAGCAGACTCACAGACTCCAAGGGACTAGCCGTTACCAAATGGAAGGGGTGGAAAAGGGTGGGTAGAGTGGGAGGAAGAAGGGGATTAATGGGCATTATGATTAGCACACATGACATAGGGGGGGTCACAGGGAAGGCAGCATAGCAGAGAAAACTAGTAATTCTATAGCATCTTACTACACTGATGGACAATGACTGCAGTGGGTGTGGGAGCAGACTTGATAATATGGGTGAATGTTGTAACCACAATGTTGCTTATGTGAAACTTTCATAAAAGTGTATATCAATGATACCTTAATAAATATATATATATACATGTAAACTATGTCATTATGCTGTATACCTGAAAATTTATACAGTATGGCATGTCAATTATATCTCAATAAAATGGGGTGGGGGGAAGAAAAAGGAGGATACAAAAAGTGAACGACCTGATATCGAAGAGCAGAGTTTGAATTTCTTTCTAGTCAATAACTTAAGATAACAGAATGACTGACACTGTAACAAGGTCCTATCTTAGGACAACTGACAATATAAAGAAAATGTGTTTGAATGAAGACTGGCTGATATCATTAAAGGACTTAAAAATTAAAGTGAAAGAATAATAATTTTTTTAAAATGACAGCCACAAAGGACTTAGAGAATGACCCAGAAGGATTAAAGACAATCCCTAGTAAATTCACTGGGGGGAGGGATGGAGGATAATCCCACAATAACAAAGCAAATTTAAGAAGAAAAAAAATTCTAAAGAATTACCTCACAGTTATCAGAGTTGAGGAATTATGTACGTAACTCAAACAGATCTTTTAGGAGGGGAATTAAAACAAGTTTACATCAAGGAAGCTTTTTACAACCTTCTGGAGACCTGTGAACTTAAGGGTGATGAAAGCACCAGACTCCAGGGAGTTCTTAGGTTAGGACAGATAAAAGGAAAAAGGGAGAGAAGATGTAACACATTAATGTAAAATTAAACTACCAGAAGACATACAAATGGCCAACAGGTATACAAAAAGATGTTCAGTATCAGTACCAGGGAATGCAACTCAAAACCCAGAGATAACACCTCACACCTATTAGGCTGGATCTTATAAAAAAAATAATAATAATAAAAGACAAGTGTTGGCGAGGATGCAGAGAAACTGGAATGTAAAATGTTGGTGGGAATGTAAAATGGTGCAGACACTATGGAAAATAAACAGCATGGAAGTTCCTCAAAAGATTAAAAATAAAACTATTCCATGATCTAGCAATCAAACTTCAGGGTATTTATCCAAAAGAACAGAAATTAGGATCTCAAAGAGACAGCATACCCATGTTCATTGCATAATAGCCAAGATGTGGAAACAACTAAATTATCCATCAACAGATGAATGTATAAAGAAAATGGACACATACAAACACAATGGAATATTATTTAGCCTTGCAAAAGAAGGAAATCCTGTGATATGCA